ATCCATAGGTTGCCAATATGAGGCATCATGCCTTATTCAGGCGGTTCATAAGTGCTCTTACTAGAGGTGGACCCGGAGGGCTCCCAAGGCCAATAGAAGTGCATGCTCATGATCCTCTTCGTTATGTAGGCGATATGCTGGGATGGCTGCATCAGGTGATTTCCTTGGTCTATCCTTGTTAATAGTCAGTATGCAATGAGCTAATTAATGTTTGTTAAATAAATTCCCTTTCAAATAACATGCACACATATGCATCATTCATCTGCAACTTAAAGATAGTCCTTTAGCCTTTCTGAACTTCTGGTTTTAATGTTTGAAGGCACTTGCATCTGAAAGAGAGCTTATAGCTGCGCTGCTTGATCCGGATGCAATAAGTGACAGTGGTCCAGCTAATCGTCGTCATTCTGTAAGAGAAGGTGATTCATCCAAAGGAGAATCTGATTTCACTTTTGTTCTCGATAGAATATTTGAAGGGGCATGCCGACCGTTTAAAGTTCGAGTTGAGCAAGTTCTGCAGTCACAACCAAGTCTGATAGTTTCTTACAAACTTAGTAATACCCTGGAGTTTTATGGTTACACGGTGAGTCTGAAATTCTAGTTCTGGCCATTTAGTAAAGCTAAGATTTATTCAGTTCACACATGGTCCTTTTCTATTCTAGATATCAGAACTGCTGGGTGTAGACACATCATTGTGCAATACAATATGGTCACTTAGAGATGCAACACAGCGGACATTCTTCAACATCCTGAAGAGCCGTGGAGAAAAGTTATTGCGATATCCTCCACTTGTTGCGGTTGACCTCTCTCCCCCGCCAGCAGTGAGGGAGGGAGTTTCTCTGTTGCTTGAGCTCATAAGTACCTACAATAGCATGATGGTTTCTGCCTCTGGAAAAGGGTTAAACTTTGATCCAGTCATTTCTGCAATACTGGATCCTATAATTCAGGTGAGATTTCTGCATTCGGTGTACTTAGTTTGTACAGATGTCTAAAAAGCATGTCCGGCAAGCTGAAAATTTATTGCTCGATCTGACTAATTTTTATCCTTGGTGCAATTTTGAATTGTTATCCTATCCAGTATCCACTGAGCACTCTGTATTATTATTTTTGTAATAATAGGATTTATCTTCCTATCCTCTATGTCTACTGTGATGTTATGGGACAATTCTTGAAACTAGCAGTATTTCAGTGTCTGTATTCACCATCAAGTTATCTTCAGTTCAAGCAAGCTATCAGTATTACACAATTGCTTAATATCTCCAAAGTAATTATGTGTTTTAGTGTCACTTCCAAAACATTTCATTTCATTCTAGAAGTTTTTGGTGCTGTTCCATGTGGATGTTTTTTTGGGTAATCATATAGTATAAAGTAACGCTAGACTGCACCTAATATGAAATAACAAGTGTGTACGTTTTACACATTTTGCATTGCATCAGTACCTGTGATTTGTAGAAACTAATATATTAGTATGTTCTAGTGGAGCCAGTTACTACAGATGACATGCGCTATCGGTTCAAAAGGTGTTCCATATTTGCTGTTCTTCTCTTTTACAAGTACTTTTGTTATATCTTTATTCTTGTTACCACAGAATGTGATGTTATCTGCATTGTGGTTTATAGGGAGTCCTCATTTACATGTGGTACTGTTAGTGCTAATCCTGACTTCCTGACCTACTCTTCAGATGTGTGAGCAAGCCGCAGAGGCACAAAAGTCAAAAGGTGCACTTGCACGGCGTGGTAGAACTAGTTCTGAACCTATGGGAAGTAAGAGAGATTCAATCTCAGTTGATGCTATTCTATCAAAGAAATCATCTACATCGGTCCTGGTTAGTAGCATAATTCTTTTTGTTTGCCACGTGCATCGTAATGTGAATCCCTTGGACCTGTGACTATTGTGGAGCAACCTTTGTACTTTTGTTCTGGTCATGAACTGAACTAGTAAAACAGACTGCCTTTTTTCTTTCTGTTGCCAGTCACCACCACACACTATACAGTTACTAGACTAGTAAAATACAGATGGTACAAGTCAAGAAATTTCAGAAAGTTCCCTGTAGCTGCAACAGTGAAACTGGCACCTTTGTTAGTGCAAACTGTAGAGAAAAAAGAGGAGACAACTAGCGGGGCAGAGATGGATAAGATCAAACACTTCCAATCATTTTGTGGCTAGCACTATTAGACATGGGAAACACTTATGATTTAGTAATTGACAAGCTGATCCTACATATACTGATAGGCATGCAATCCCAATTTGCATTCCTTAGTACTCGCCTTATGATCCCAGAATAAAAATATAACTGGCTTTATGAAAAACAGCCGGTGTTGTGGATTTCATGATTGCCTTTGTGTTCAATTTTATTTCATAACCTTTTGGGCACTGATCAGATTAAAGAAACTGTGATTTTTTATGCTCGGATCAGAAACCTTTTTGCTTTAAGCCTTTGACTGGGTAGACTAGCTCGCTTCAGCTGTGCAAATCAACTTGTAGACATTTGCTTACATCCAAGTAATTTCAGTACTTTTCCTTACATGATGCCATGCAATGTACAGAGTGGTGAATCTTCGTCCAAAGTTTACCTCATCAACTGCTTATCAGCTATTGAGGAACCACTGATGGATCAGGAGGTTGCTACAAGCTATGTTAACAACCTTCACTCTATGATCGAAACACACACGCGTGCCTTAGTAGATAAAGAAGCTGATAGCATTCTCAGTAAATGTGGATTGTCAAGTAAGATGCCATACCTAAAGAACTACAGCTCCACTGACGGCAATGACGATGCAAGACCTCTGGCAGATGTCGTGGAGACATCACCACAAATGCTTCTGGAATGCTTGAAGGCATTCTATGGTATTGTGACTGGAACAGAAGGCTCCTTGCCGGAATTCGAGCAGCTGCAGGTTCCAAGGTTACGCTCAGACGCGTGCTACGGTTTGGCGAGAGCCCTAGCAGAAGCTTACGAGCTCATTTACAGGGCGGTGATGGATCCAAAGAACTGTTATCCTGACCCAAGATCGTTGGTCAAGCATTCGCCTGAGCAGATAAGAACGATACTGGAAATCTGAGGTCCACACACCATACCTTTTGATACATGTAATGAGAGGAGATTCATGTTCAGAATCACTGTGATGTATATTACTACCTGCTAAATCTGAGGTTGCAATTTCTTGAGAAATACTGAAGTGGTCACACCTTTGGTGAACTGTTATATCATATCGATACTCATGTATTACAGTTTTGCTTGTTTATAAAACCACATGAATCATTGTCGGATGAACAATAGTGTCAGAGAAGCATTCCGGTGGAAGATGAATGAAACCAGATTCCAGTATTTCTGGTTCTTGCTTGTGTAGGGTTGAAAGCGATGCCGAATAACTGCATCCAACTTGCCAACTAGAGTCAAGCAACTGCTAGTGGACCAGAGGCTCTCATGAGCAAATTGGCAGAGGATGTCACTGTTTTCCTTCCCGCTGTAACCTTCCGCAAAACGTCGGAATTAATTGCATCCTTACTGTGTTACTTTCAATATTATTACTACAGACGAGCAGCTGATTTTGATGGAACTTTGTGTGTGGCCCCCCGCTATCTGATCTCCTTTTTCGTGCTGATTTGGCGGATGCAAGCTGTAGCTGTTGACTGCAGCGACGAGCGGAACTCGGAACTTTGGCCGGTGTGGAAAGTGGAAGCCGCCGCTAATCAGGATCCAAGGCCGTTTCTTGGGGGATAACTAATGCTATCAGGGACAGGTTATCCAGGTATGGTTGAAAAGGTATTCAAGCTTGTCGGCAGTGTACATTTGTTTGTTTTCCTCCTACTTTTCTTTTGGCAACATGTTTTCCTCTTATTTTGTGATCAAATTTTCTCCTCTAAGGCAGCTGAAAAATATGATATATGTATAGTCAGTCAATCAAATCAACTAATTTAAATTATGGAGTAGCGTGGCTTGCAATAGCAGCATCAACCTCGTTGAATACTGCACAGCCCATCCATTAGCTGCTCATCAGCACCGTAGAGTAGGTTGACCTTGATTAATTAGTCCCCCTACGAGCAAATTAAACTGCATTATGAAGCAGATAGTTGCACGGTTAGGTGGGTGTCTCCACCATCCTACGTGATTAGGGTGCCTCTAGCCGCCCCTAGTACGTGGTGCCACTAAACTAGCTTCTCCTAATCCTGAAAACCCTGTGAGGTCACGTCCCCTCTCTTAATCTAAGGCCACGGGCATACGTGCGCACTTCCACTACCCGTTTCCCGGACAAGAAAACGACCAGTTGCATGCCTTGCGTCGTCGGACCCCGGGTCGTCGTTTGGCCCGCCCGGGATTTTTCCATGCGTTGGCATGCGGCGCACGGCAAGTGGGCGCAGCGTGTGGAGAGGGTGGGACGGCTACCCGAGGCCGAGGTCGAGGTCTCCGGTCCACGCCTGCGCGGCCACGGTGGAGGGATCACTGATGCAGAATGTAACAAGCTAGCCGTGACTGTGCCTGTGGTGGGAACGGGCGCCCGTGAGCGGCGGGCGGACGACGACGACGACGTACGGCCCCGCATTCCCATGACGGCGAGGAGGCGAGACGGGAGGATGGACTGCTGGAGTGATTACTTGGATTCTCTCTCTGGGCCTAGCTAGAGTAGACGGGATAGTGATGAGCTGCGTGCCAGTGTGTTTGTGTGTGCAGTGCGGGATGGGGCAGCACAGCAGGAGCAGTAGGAGTAGGTTGGTCGTTGGTCTCGGCTTTCAATGCGGAAAATTCCACTGCAATGAACCAGCAAAAATGACAGCCGACGCGGCGCGGACGCAAGCGCGCGCACCACCACAGACACCATCAAGCCATTGCGCTGCCGCGCGCGCCTTCCTTTCCTTTCCTTCCCTGCGCCGCAGCTAGCAGCAGCAGCTAGCAGCAGCAGCTAGCTCGCCTGACTAGCTATAGGAGCAAACAAATCTAAGATGAGAGGGACGCCGTGCTCGGAGCTCGGGAGTAGGATAAGCTAAGGTAGCTAGCTACGGAGATGCGGTGCCCGGCGCTGCTGCTGCTGCCGCTGCTGGCGGCCGTGCTGCTGCACGCGGCGGCCGCGGCCGGCGGAGGCAACGGGAGCTGCGTGCGGAGCTGCGGCCGCATGACGCTGCCGTACCCGTTCGGCTTCTCCAGCGGCTGCACCGTACGCCTCGGCTGCCACGTCGGGGCCGACGGCGTCGGCGCCGCGTGGCTCGGCGGCGCGCCGGAGCTGGGCCTGCTCGTGCGCAACGTCACGCCGCGCGCGCTCACCCTCAACCTGCAGCCCGACTGCGATCGCTCGTTCAATGCGTCCGTCGCGGCGCTCTTCTCGGACAGCTACGCGCCCTCCTCCCGGAACGGGCTCGTCGTCAGGTCATGCAGCAGCGCCGAGGCTGACCGCATCAGAAACTGCAGCAGCGACTACATCAACCGAACCACGTCCCACTGCACCGCCAACGAGCCCATCCGCTGCATCCTGCCCCCTTCCAACACCACCAGCGGCCACCATTTTCTGAACAAGAGCGAGGTGCTCAGGTCCAACTGCACCGGGCTGGTGACGGCGGTGAGCTACTCGGACGCGCAGGGGCCGTCGCTGCTGCTCGAAGCGCTGGAGCTGGACTGGTGGGTGCCGGGGCGGTGCGGCTGCGCCCCCAGAGCCACCTGCACCCAGTTCAACGCGACGACGGCGAGGCGGGAGGCGTTCCGGTGCGAGTGCCCGGAGGGGCTCCAGGGCGACGGCTTCGTCGACGGCGCCGGTTGCCGGGAAGGTCAGTGCTTCATCACACACACCACAACGAGTATTTCTTTCATCGTTTGTTTTCCTTCTCCATTTAGCGAGTCAAGTTGTGCGAGCTAGACGGACAGACTAGCCATTACTCTACGCCTTCGCTCTCGTTGACCACGCAACTAACAATCCGCGGCGTCGGCTGCGCACCTAGAATTGTGGACCATTGGCACCTTGAAGACAGACGGGCAGGAATTGATCATATCCCTTGGTTCTTTGGTTGTGTCACCCACATGTTCAATGGAGCCGCGAAAGGCTCTGCCCACCGACTTCTCTGACCAAAAAAAACCTCACGGATAAGGTGGCTCCGCCCCCTTTCTTGGTAGCCATTTACGTTTCACACTGTCGACTAAAACGCACATTGCTGAATTCCCTCACGTTTCTCCCTCGCCCGTTAGCCGGCGACGTGTTAGGCGTCGCAAACGGCACGGGGACCTCGTGGCGTGCTGGTTCAAAAGGAGGATAACCTCCGGCCTCTGCATGGAGAGCAGCAGCGGGAATCATCACTTTTGGGTGTTTAGATGGTGCTTTTTGTTGTTGCGTCTTATTGCATTGTCAACACGTGCGGATTGCACTCGTTTCTCGGCCAGCTCTCCATGTTGTTTTTAGAAAATGATCGATCGAATTGACCATCGGTCGGCCAACTCCCCAGGTTTTCCTCCACTCAAGTGCCTCCAGCACTTCATGGATGACCACATTGCGACTTTGCAGCACCAATGTTGGGAAGGCATTGTGAGTATGGGGAGTGGGTACCGGGTTGCGTGACTTAGCTCTTGGGGCTCCGGCGATCTAGGATCTAGGAAGGGTGGTGTCTCCATTGTTAATTGCGAGAGGTTAGTGAATTAGAGATTTTATTATGTTGCCTAGATATTTTTGACATGCATGCAAGCACATATGTCGTTTGTTGCATACACACCTTCATCTTGAAAAAAGGAACAAATTGTTTTGATGTTGCAAATGTGTTCCTTCGTTGTTGTATGTGTTGTTCACATATGTTGCTTAGGTTAGTCTTTTTATATATTGCGAGTATGGTAGCAAATTTTCTACGCTTTTGTTTCAATGAACGGAGATTTTTGCATACATATAACTTTTGCTATGTGGCGTGTTTGAAATGCTGCATTATCCTTGAATGAGTTTTTACGAGTGTGGTGGTAAACACTGCAATGATGTTGCGTATGGGTATGATATGTATTCCTAGATTTGCCACTTAAAGTGGGATGGTGGATGAGGATATCGATCGGGTGAAATATCACCTGGCCGATGCCTGGGGTTAGCCATTCTTTTTCTTTTTAATGAAAATAATCATCTTGCATTTCATACTGTAAAAATCATGCATCACTGAATTTTCTCAAGAGGTTCTCACGTGCAATACGGAATGTGGTGGAATACATACATTGAAATTGGTCAAAAAAAATTACTTTGCAAAATACTAATCTTTGTTGACCAGCAAGTATCTATTGATAGCTGAGTTAACTTTTGATCACTGAATAAAATTGCGTGAAGTTTAACGTAATCTGATATTTGAGATCTGCCGGCGAGAGTAAATGAGTAGTTAACTAGCTTGTTAGCAGGCGCTTGGCCTTGGAATATTTTATTTTTGCATGCATGTCAATGTAATGTTATGAAAGGAGTTCTTCAAATTGCTGCTTAAATTATGTTGAAATTGCTAAATAATGTATGAAGTCAAACTCTTGATATCATTGCTACTCCCTTTTTCCCTCTTCTCGTCAATCTTACACCTGTGTGTCCAATGGTTACAGTTTCCAAGTCCAAGTGCGATCGCTCGAATTACCTATCAAGAGATTGTGGCAAGATCGTCCTCGTTGGTCTTATCATGGCAGGTAACTTGCTCATGCATCTTATAAGCTGATATAAAACTTAAGAAAGCTACATTATTTATTTTGTAGATTGCTTTTTTGGCACTGCCACTATACAATCCTCAGAAATGTCTCACCGGTTGAAAGTTTAGAACTGATCAAGGCTACAATAAGAAAGAAAAGCTCTATCGTAGCTACTAAAAAGAAAAGTTGTACAAGTGGCTACCATCGTGCAACACAAATGTCATCCACTCACATAGAATATGATTGGTTTGCTCCCAATATTTGGCTAGCCAAATGTTGGCAATACCAACGCTTGCCAACTATTGGCAATTTTCTGTGAGATGGTAAGATGACTCGGTAACCAACCAAATAGTAGCCAATATTTGGCGTGTGCCAATTCTTGGCACCAAACCAATTATGCTTATATTGTGTGCATGTTTTCAACGGGACCTCCTATTTCGTGCACGGGTTGCTGGGTAGCGACCGAGCGCGCATCCCCCGCTACACGAGCGTGTGCTTTTGGGCCAACCCGTATGAGCGGCGGGTGATCCTGTTTTTTTTATTTCTTTTTGTTATCTTCTGCCTTTTTGCTTCAATTAAATTGTTCGGGGTTTAAACACTCCTGAATTTCAAATAATGGTTGGTATTAAAAAAACTTGAATATCAAAAAATGTTCCCAAGTTTTCAAAAATTGTTCTCAAATTCAAAAGGTGTTTCCAAGTTTGAAAAATGTTTTTGAATTCAAAAAATGGTCTTGGAATTGAAAAAAAGTTCCCATATTCAAAAACGGTTTATGATTTTGAAAAATGTTCAGGAATTCTAACAGATGTTCAGGATTTTGAATACATTATTGTGGATTAAGAAATGATCCAGGTTATTTTAAATGTTCAGAAAAAAATAAGAACCAAAAAATTGGAAAATGTTTGTGAATTTGAAAAAATGTTCGCGATCAAATAGATTTTTTTTACGAATTCAATTTGTTTTTGTGCTTTAAAAAATGTTCACAAAAATAGAAAAATGTTCGAAAATGAACAAGAAAAAATAAAAGTAAAACAGAAAATGAACATGTAAAAAGAAAAAAATAAACGCTAAAACGTAAACGAAAAAGAAAGGAAAATAAAAAAGCGTAAAAAGAAAGAAAAACCGGCCTGGGAAGGTTTTAAAACCTTGAACCTTACCCAAAATGGCCCCCCTCTAGCAGACGGCGACCTTGGGCCGGCCCAGGTTTCAGACGGCATTCCCCTATTTTTTTCGTTTATTTTCGTTTTCTGTTTTTTTTTTTGCTTCTTTAGGAAAGTTCAGGATTTGAAAAAAAACTTTAGAATTTCAAAAAATGCCACGAATACAAAAAAATGTGCTTTAATTCAGAAAAAAATTCATAATTTCTGAAACGATGAACATTTTTTTAAATTTCGATGGACATTTTTTGTATTTTGATAAACAAATTTATTTTTGGATGCCCATTTTTTATTTTTATGTACACAATTTGAATTTTGGATGAACATTTTTAGAATTTGTTTTATATTTGATGATAAAATTTTAAATTCAATGAATTATTTTTCGAAATGGATGAACACATTTTATTTTTAGTGAATTTGTGGTGAAATTAAGGTACACATTTTGAATTTGACCTACATTTTTTAGTATGATGAATTTTGTTAGAAAATTCATCATCATTTTTTGAACTTGATGAACATTTTTTGAATTTGATGAACAAAAGTTGAATTTGAAAAACTATTTGATTTTTAAAATAGATTTGAAAAGGATGTTCCCAAATTTCAGAAAATGTTTGTGAATATGGAACGAAAAGAACAACAAGAAGGACAAACGAAAATTTAAAATCGTACAGATATCTCAAAAGAAAAGGAAAATTCGCACGGAAGCAGTTCGATCATGGGAAGAATTTGTTCTTATGTCTCATGAAATTTCATAATATTCCAACATTCACTCTAATATAATTTGCATTTTTTGTCCGTACAAGGTCTCTGTAACTTTTCTGCAAAACTGCAGCCCTTTCGGTTTTGATGAACATTTTGAAAATATAAAAATTAAAGAGATGATGAACATTTTGAAAATATAAAAATTAAAGAAATGATGAACATTTTGTTCATTTTGAAATAAATGAACGAATTTTGAATTTGACCTGCATTTTTTGATATGATGAGCAATTTTAAAAAATTCATCATTATTTTTTGAACTTGATGAACATTTTTTGATTTTGATGAACAAATTTTAAATTTGAACACTATTCTACTTTTTTTTTAAATAGAGTTGAAAAAGATGCTCCCAGATTTCAGAAAATGATTGTGGATATGGAATGAAAAAAAAAACAAAAAGAAAGCAAAACGAAAATTTAAAGTAGATTTTTTTGGAGAAAGAGATAAACCCGCTGTTGCGAGTACATGTTAGGCTGAAGAAAGGACCATCTTTCCATTTATGTGGGCTCATTTGTCTCTCCGTCCTGTAAATGATATTATGGGCCACCATGCATGTGTACTGTTTAATATGACTTCTGAAGCTGGGCTGTATTTTATATTCTACTCCATATGTAAAGAAATATAAGAGTGTTTAGATCACAAAATAGCAAGGTTGGGCTGTTCGTTCATTGATGGGCTTTTAACATAACCCAGTATCGCTTGGTTATTTAAAATGTAAAAATACTCTTTTGAGAATAAAATAGGTCCGCTCTGGAAGTTGCTAAAAAAATAGAGCAATGCTACACATACGTAATGTTACGTACAGATCTTACGTAAAAGATGATGTGGAGGTTGTTAATTGTGCCAGGATTAGCAGCTGGGGCCTATCCCGGTTAAAATCAGGGGGAAGGAGAGAATTTTATGGAAGGTTAAGTGAGCCTACGTAGCAATTTTTGTAGATGTAGGATTATTGAAAACAGTTTGTCTAATTCACATTTAGGCCTCCTTTGGTTTAAAGGAATTTCATAGAAATTTTAGAGGATAGGATTCTTATAGGATTTTTTTTCTTTTGGAGCCCTTTAGTTCATCGGAATAGATTCCTATTCCTACATAGGAATGGTTCCTATCCTCCACATTTCATAGGAAAATAAAAATGAGCCTAGACTCAATTAAAAAAATTTCTTTGATGTCAACCAAATGACATCTCATTTCCTATTCCTACTCATAGGATTTGAGATACATGCCATCTCATTTCCTACAAAGTTTCTATTCCTATGATAATTCTATCCTATGAACCAAAAGAGACCTTAGAACATAGCAACAAGGAACAAAAAAACTGCGACAAAAAAAAAATAGACCACATACATAGCGGACATCAGGTTAGATATGAGTGACATATGTCACATCTAAAATGTGTCCTAGACAGACCCTATTGAAAAAAATACTCTTCGGAAATCCTACAGACATCTCAAAAGAAAACGAAAGTTCATACAGAAGCAGTTCGATCATTGGAAGGATTCGTTCTTATGTAACTTTTCTGCAAAACCCTTATCGATTTTTGATGACATTTCTACACGCACTGCAGGAATAGTTTTTGGAGCCATGGTGACGGGCATCGGCTGCGTGGTGTGCCACGTGCTGAAGCGCCGTTCCGCGTCCATCCGGTCGCAGCAGAGCACGAAGCGGCTCCTGTCGGAGGCGGACTGCACGGTGCCGCTCTACTCGTACCGCGAGATCGAGCGCGCCACCAGCGGCTTCTCCGAGGACCACCGGCTCGGCACGGGCGCCTACGGCACGGTCTACGCCGGCCGCCTCAGCGACAACCGCCTGGTCGCCGTGAAGCGGATCAAGCACCGCGACAACGCCGACGGCGGCCTGGACTCCGTCATGAACGAGGTGAAGCTGGTGTCCTCGGTGAGCCACCGCCACCTGGTCCGCCTCCTGGGGTGCTGCATCGAGCAGGGCCAGCAGATCCTGGTCTACGAGTTCATGCCCAACGGCACGCTGGCGCAGCACCTGCAGCGGGAGCGCGGCCGGCCCGCCGTGCCCTGGACGGTGCGCCTCCGCGTGGCCGCCGAGACCGCCAAGGCCATCGCGTACCTGCACTCGGAGGTGCACCCGCCCATCTACCACCGCGACATCAAGTCCAGCAACATCCTGCTGGACCACGAGTACAACTCCAAGGTGGCCGACTTCGGGCTGTCCCGGATGGGCATGACCTCCGTCGACTCGTCGCACATCTCCACGGCGCCGCAGGGCACCCCGGGGTACGTGGACCCGCAGTACCACCAGAACTTCCACCTCTCCGACAAGAGCGACGTGTACAGCTTCGGCGTGGTGCTGGTGGAGATCATCACGGCCATGAAGGCCGTCGACTTCACCCGGGGCCCCAGCGAGGTCAACCTGGCGCAGCTCGCCGTGGAGAGGATCGGCAGGGGCTGCGTGGACGACATCGTCGACCCCTTCCTGGACCCGCACCGGGACGCGTGGACGCTCACGTCCATCCACAAGGTGGCGGAGCTGGCCTTCAGGTGCCTCGCGTTCCACAGCGAGATCAGGCCGTCCATGGCCGAGGTCGCCGACGAGCTGGATCAGATACAGGTCAGCGGGTGGGCGCCGTCGGCGGACGACGCCGCGTTCATGTCGACCACGTCGTCGCTCTGCTCGTCGGCGCCGTCGCGCGGCACGGACAAGTCGCTGGGGCCGGACAAAGGCAGGGGCGAGGCGTTGCCGACGTCTGCCCCGGCGACGGCGGTGGCTGAGCGGGAGACGGAGAAGGGCGCGGCGGGGTCCTCCCCTGTGTCCGTCCAGGAGAGGTGGTTCAGCGACAGGAGCTCCCCTTCCTCCAATAGCCTGCTCGGGAATAGCAGCTCGCTTCACTGAACTGAAACACGCCGCCATTAGTCCTGACATCCATTCCGTCGTTGTTTAGTTTAGCTGTAAAATTTAGAGATGTACGATTTCTTCTAGTATAGCTACCAAAGAAAAGAAAACGTACGATTTCTGGGTCTCTTCTTGTGCCGCTCATTTCCTTTTCCGTTGGTTCCAGGCAATCTGTAAATGAAACTTTTTACCTAGTCTACTCAGACGTCAGGTTGAAGAGCCATTGATTCGACCAAGTCGACGTGCAGACGGAGAGATGATTGTCTAGAACGGAACTCGCTGACCAGTTGGGTGGAGCTGGCGGAAATCCGGTAAAACCCCCGGTAGAATTTGGTCCTTGGCTTACATTTCGTGGTCCAGATAAAAGTACGACGGGGTCAATTCTCGGCCAGGTGAAAAGTACGTGCCGGCCACGCTTGTGCACATTATACCCATACAATCGAAATCATTTTCCCTGCAGGCCCATGCTAGCTTCAAGTGTGGAAAATATGTTCTCTGGTGAAACAAACAAAACTGACGGTCCCGAGAACCTGCTAGCTAGGCTGCCCCGTCCCGTGCAAGTGGGGAAAATATCTTCTCTGGTGAAACAAACAAAACTAACGGTCCCGAGAACGGTCGTACGTGCTGACGGGCAAACCATGAAGCGGGAAAACCCTATACGACGCGCGCTGAGTCAAACTGCTGAGGCTTCGCACAGAGAGCTAACAACTACTCCCTTCATTTCAAAATAGTTGACTCAATTTTATACTAACTTTAATGCAAAGTTAGTATAAAGTTGGGTCATCTATTTTGAAACGGAGGAAGTAGTGAATAACGTGAACAGGCCCAGTTACGAGATAAAACGCACTACAGTTTCCGCTTTTGGGAACCTCCTAGAAGTTTCCTGATCGGTTTGGGAAGCTTCTAGAAGGTTTCTGAAGCAGTTTTTTATTGGTTTTCACTTTTTTATTTGCAGTTTTTTCTTAAACTGTTTTTCTCATTTTCTTTTTTCCATTACATATTTTTTCATTTTTCATATTTTGTATTTCTCTTTCTTTTCTCTTTTTTTATTTATTTTATAATTCCTTTTTATACTAGTTTTTTTGTTCCTATTTTTCTCTTTCAGAATTTCAAATTTGATTGAAATTTCAAAAAAATGTTCGGAAGTTCAAAACATGTTCCTGTTTTTTAATTACTATTCAGAAGGTCAAAAATTATTAGGGATTTCTAAAAAATGTGCGCATATTTGAAAACATGTTCATGTTTCAAAAAAAATCACAAATTCAAAAAGTGTTTTTGATATTTAAAAACTATGTTCATAAGTTCAAAAAATGTTCCTATTTTCAAATTTTGTTCACAAATTCAATAAATGTTCGTAAGGGTCACATTTTTAAATTTTGTTCAGAGTTTCAGATTTTGTTAACGGATGCAAAAAAATTCCCTTTTGTTCAAAATGTTCATGTTTTAAAAAAATGTTCCTTTTTGTCAACATTTTAACAGAAATTAAAGAAAGTTCCTGGCTTGAAATTTGTCCGTGTTTGTGAAAAAAATGGGAACTGGAAAATTGTTCCTGTTTTTCAAAATTTGTTCACAAATTCATACTTTCTTCCCTATTTGAATTTTGGTAACAAATCAAAAAATTGAGCAATTTCTCCAATACTAGTTCATATTTTTCAAAAAAAATCAAAATTTTATTAAAAACTATTCTTTATTTTCTTTAAAAGTTTTTTAAAAAGGATTCTTCGATGTGGGTAGTTCTAAAAGATTTCACGCTGCAAATACAACACTCACTGATCTGCTCTACTGGTTACGCACCTGTCCATACAATCACCAATTTCTAAGAAATCAAGCCTCCTCGTCTGCGTGCCACGTGCCAATGGTCCCACCCAGGCTGGTGCGTCTCGGTCAACTACTCAGCCTCACATCCCGCATCCACGCATCCCACGAACTTCTCCATTTCTTCCCATTCTCCCACACGTTGAGCCTGATGAACCTCGACGGAAATTCTTTCTCCGCCGTATCCCGCAAGAGGCCCTGGAGACTCACAGAAGTGCCTCTCCAATTGCAGCCACCGTGCCGCTGACACTCGCCGCAGGCCTCCATCTCCGCTTGACAACCCAATCTCACAGCAGACCTCCACCAGACGACCTGCGCCGACGCAACAGCGCCGCTGCTGCAACACAACACCGTCGTTCATGGCAGCTGTCGGTGTCAAAACCGGCGGATCTCGGGTAGGGGGTCCCGAACTATGCGTCTAAGGATTGATGATAACAGGAGACAGGGGACACGATGTTTACCCAGGTTCGGGCCCTCTTGATGGAGGTAATACCCTACATCCTGCTTGATTGATATTGATGAATATGAGTGTTACAAGAGTTGATCTACCTCAAGATCGTATGTTGTGGTCTAAACCCTACAACTATGATGAGTAATGTCCTAATCATCTATTGACTAGTCTGGCCTCGGCTTATATAACATACCAGAGGCCTAGGATAACAAGAGTCCTAGTCGAATACGTCGGTGAAGAGGAGTCCTTGTCTTCATCACCAAGTCTTGTGGAATCTTCCTCGTATATGTCTTCGACTGTCCGAACTGGCCCATGAGTAAACGACCATGGGGGTCCTCGGCCCAATCCAACTGACTGGGAGACGATGTGGTGAGTACCCCCTAGTCTAGGACACCGCCAGTAGCCCCCTGAACCGGTCTTCAAGTTGGGGACGCTCCTCGGTTCTTCCGAACTATTCTTCGTCTTCGGTCGTCGGTCTTGAAAACTGGTTCAACAAATCTTCACATCTTCTATCTTGAGGATTGCCGAGCTAAATCTGAAGATCTAACACGTCGGGTATCCGAGGAGCCCTTTAATTCTTCGGCCTTTATCAATGCCTTGTTATTTTTATGCCACACCTCCGATTTGAAGTTGTTTCCGGGCGGCAGTGTCCTCTTGCGTCCGAGCTCCAACGTCGGAGTATATTCGAGGTATCTTTTGCAGACGAGCACCAACGCCGGACCGCTTCCGAGCTCCAACGCCGGAATGTATCCGAGCTCCAACGCCGGACTATGTCCAAGCTCCAACGCCGGACTATATCCAAGGTATCATAGATCACCTTGGTTCAAAAAAGTTAAAAGAGTTTAGCCGAGCTTAATGCCGGGAATGCCCTCTATGGAGCCAGCCACTGGCGCCCGAGCTTTATGCCGGATTGCTTCCGAGGTGGTACACCACCCCGACTATGGGCCGATTTTTTGTCAATATTTTTGATTGGTGCAATTTATTCTCTGCCGAGATATATAGCCAGTAGCCCTCAAGGTGTGTATCGGTCTAAAACCCGAGATGCACCTAAAGGATGACATGAGACTGCTGATCCCAGTAACCACTGAGACTCAGGTTGATTTGCAAAATCGGTCTGAGGATCAACTCCTAGCTCGGCAGAATACTTCGGGACACAAAAAGCGATGTGCAGAGTCCTCGAGACTCAGGTTGGGTGCGGCCGACCAACCTGAGGATCATAATCTCCTCGAAAACTATTTTGCACTTAAATTTTCTGCACTGGATTGCCAATGCAGTAGCCCCCAAGACACTGGTCGGGTGGCAACACCAGATCAGGGGATCGATACGCCCCTTTAATATTAGTAAATGATAAGCCCGAAGCCAAGTAGCCCATGAGCCTTAATGCGGGCACGAGTGGCCGAATTAAGGATCGATATCCAGAGTAAAATCACAAATTATGTGTAATGATTCTATGTATCCAAGTACTTTACATCATTAATGCTCGGATCCGCATTGTACAAAACTTTGTTGACCGATCATCGGCTTCCACCTCCTCGGCCAGGAGCCGAGGAGTGTTTGTCCTACTTTATAAAGCCTTTATGAGGGCAAAGGTTTAGACAAACAAGGCAATATGGCCATACGGTTTTATAAACAAAGGTATGCAGAGAGATATGTTATATCTTTGTTTAACATAAGAAATGTCTTCCAAAGAAAATAGTCCCGCTATCGGTTCCTTTCTTTGGTTTGTCATGCTAAGCATGATCTTGAAACCTCAGCTCTAATGTAAGAGCAAAATATTGAGGATTTGGTTTGGGAGGCCACTTACTAGGCCCCGGTAGTATTCGGCGACAGTCGAGGTCGAGCCGTAAACACTTCGGCCAATGTTATGAATGGCCCATCATTTAACACAGTCATCGGATCGCTGACCAGTTTACACTTATTGTGATAGTTAGTTTTCGACTTTCTCCACTGAAGTGCTTAACCATGTGAGCTGGAAGCACAATCGCAGTGGTTCTCCCTTTGCACACCTAGCCAAACAAAGCGTAACGTAGGAGGCAAGCACAGGAGCCGGGCAACCCAACTATTGATCGAAGACACAATTCAAAACCGATGCATATATAGCAATATCCGAGAATGTTTTTATTGGGGATCGTAGCAGAAATTTAAAATTTTCTACGCATCATCAAGATCAATCTATGGAGTAATCTAGCAACGAGGGGAAGGGGAGTGCATCTACATACCCTTGTAGATCGCTAAGCGGAAGCATTGCAAGAACGCGGATGAGGTAGTTGTACTCGTGGCGATTCAGACCGCGGTCGATTCCGTTCTAAGCGCCGAACAACGGCGCCTCCATGTTCAACACACGTGCAGCCGGTGATGTCTCCCATGCCTTGATCCAGCAAGGAGAGAGGGAGAGGTTGGGGAAGACTCCGTCCAGCAGCAGCACGACGGCGTGGTGGTGGTGGAGGAGCGCGGTACTCCAGCAGGGCTTCGCCAAGCACTACGAGAGACGGGGAGGGAGAGAGGTAGGGTTGCGCCTTGGGAGAGAGAGACTCATGTGTTGGGCAGCCCCAAAACCTCCACTATATATGGGGGCAAGGGGGAGGGGAGGCGCCCTAGGGTTTCCCCTAGGGGAGGCGGCGGTCAGGGCAGATGGGATCTCCCCTTTGGGTGACTTGGCTCCCAAGCCAGGAGGTGGGAACCCTAGATGGGGCGCCCCAAACCCCTTGGTCACGTGGGAATAGGTGAGGGGGGC